TTGTTTAGTTAATAAATCTTCCTTTTATATTAAACGTGATAGTAGTTTCCTTAATTATTTGATTCGAAGTCCTTGGAGTTTTATTTGAGGTCAGTTTATTTTGTATTTTTTGACAAGAGAGAGCATTCTCACCAAACGAGATTTCTTCCGAAATTCAATGTTTTGTTTATGCAGGGTTTTTCCATTGCAATTTCTCTTATTTAAATTTTTAATAGACTTAATTATAGCCAAAATTTTAACCTTTTTAAAGAGATATCAGTTTTAGAAATTTTATCTTAAGATTTTATACTATAGCACATTTCTAATAGGTTTAACGAATTACATGTCATTTATTTGAATTCAAATTTATTTTAATGACTTAGTATTTCCTAAAAAGATGTAATTTTTTTTTTAAAAAAAAGTTGTTATATGGATTTGAATGATTGTTTTGAATTCTTAGAATTTTGTGCATTTGCAATGTACTTAAGTTAGTAGCGAGCGAAGCGAGCTTGGTTTGCGAAGCAAACCATATAAGATTGCGTAGCAATTTTCGGGGGTTGGCGAGCGTTAGCGAGCAGGGGGCACAGCCCACTAGTATAAAAAAATCTCCTGGATAAAAACCCATGACATGTATGCTTGAATGTAAAAGTATTGCCTATAAACTCATGCAAATTATATAATTGTAAAAAAAACTAAAGTGCGCTTAATAATTTGATCTAATTATTATAATAAACTAATATAATACCTGATATAATAAATATTCTATATTCATATTATCTATCGTCTAATTCATCCTATCGTCGGATTTATATTATATATCGTCTAATTTAACCCATTGATACACTGACGTAAGCAAGTGCAAACAGTCACATAAAAAACAATAAGGCTGTATAGAGTATCACCTGATAACTAAGATTTTACAAAGAATCTTATGCGTCTAATAATTTGACCATTGACTGTATGTTAGCGGCATTCTACAGAAGTCATTGTATGTAATGCCTGAAACCAGCCAGCACTGTATGAAACGATTTCACACATTTCCAAGGCATTCTATAAGTGCCAAATGAGAAACATAAAATACAACTCATTTTCAAATGTAACGAAATGTAATTCAAAATGTCATTTAAATTAACCATGTTGAAACAAGTAGGTTCATTTTTATTTCTTTGTGGGCGTTTCATACTTTGTCGGTAACATAGTTGAACTGCCATATTTGCGAGGTTAGACAAACATTTATAATACCTGTGAAGCCTGCAGGCTAATCTTAGAATTGAGTTCATCATACAAATGGGCTTATGCAAGATTTGTCAATACATAACTCTTCATTCTTTTTTTTTTAATTTTAGCACTTGTTCATTAATAAAATAATTCCCCGATCCATTGAGATTTGGTAAAAACGATTCATCAATTGTTAATTTTGTATTGTAATCTGTCTCCCGTATTTTATTTTATAACTGTCTGAGTTTTTTTGGTGAAACTTCGCACACAAACACTAAAATGTTGCTTGTTATACTAAAATAGTTATAAACACACTAAATCACACAAAACACACTAAAGCACTAGCACACTAAAACACTAGCACACTAAAACACTAGCACACTAAAGCACTAGTACACAAATACTAGAATAGTTATGAGGAAAAAAAGGAATAATTAAAGTCAATTCTGTGAATCGAGTCTATAATTTACTAATCCTAAGATAATTTGTTTTCAAAACTAAAAAGCTCCTCATAGTGGGTTCAAATAAAAAAACTGTCCAAAATTAAAAAAAAAAATTTCTTGCTTATAATTATATTTTGTAGTCCATAGAGCTATGCAATCACAAAGAAATATTTGCTTGTTGATTTTTTCTTATTTAAATAACTTGAGGAATTTATATTTTTTTATTATCATGGTTGAAGAGAAAAAAGCATGCCATAATAGTTTCGAAAATTTTGATAACTTAATTAGTTTTTTAAATTTTATTTTACTTCATTAAAATATTATGTTTATCGAATGCAAATGTGTGCAGATGAATACAAAGAAATTGTATTTTGTATTTGTATTTTTCAAAGAATTGTATATACACGTACAACCGATGATTTGAAATGGTGCGGCGTTTAATCCAAATAGAAAAAACATTTAACCAATGGGCAGCCAGTGATTTAATAAGAAGATCACATTTTTTTTAAAAACTTCTTAATGTTTTAATTGGTTTTGTGTTAAAAAATTTTTAAAACTTATTTTAATTTCTGATTTTATAAAAATTTTGTAGAATCCAAAGATGTTGTGAGCACAGGACAGTTTTAAAATTGTATGAATCTCGGAAAGAAACGTTAGCAAAATAAAACAAAAAATTAGCTTCTTATATTTGGCCAAAACATGTTGAAAATCAAAATGCATGCGTTTGACTCGAAAATTTCATTTGTGTTAGAAGATTTTGTTACGATTAACAAATAGAGGGTGCACATTAATGTGAATTGAAAGAAAAAAAAACTAAACTGAGTTGAAATTGATCAAATGAAAAAAAAAGCTATTAAAAAAGTCCATACAATAATACCATCAAAGAATTTTTCATTGGCTTTTTTCTACTTAAGTAACATGCTGATTTAAGATTCATTATAATTATTTTTATCGGAAACTATGAGTAAAAGCATACGTTTTCTTAAGAAATGTTAACAACAAAAATGCAAATTGGAACAAAATTTTTTTTTTTTCTTGTTCATATAGACTTTTTAAAAACATGTACTTCAATTTCTAAACTTATGAAAATTTCGTTGAATGTTGGTCACCTGTAACAGCTATAAAATTGCACTGTTTACATAAAGAAAAGTAAATATAATGAAAACATGAAGAAGTTTTGTGAAAGAATAAAGAAGTCGTATTTAAAGAAGTCCTATATTTAAAATTCGATTCGTCAGGAGCTATTCAACAAATTTTGCTCAAATTTTGAATTTTGCCCAGTCAAATTACATACTTTCAAACGACGTAAAAATTTCATACCTAACAATTCAAATTTTCATGTCTATTACTAAATAATATATTAAAAAATAATAGATATTTAGTAAAATTTATTCTTCGCATTGAATTATCGTTGGATAAACGAATTTTATAATCGTGTGCAATATTTTTTTTTAATTAACTTAGAAAAGTTTTCGAGATATCGCGAAATATACAAAAAGCAAAATTAACATGAAGGGGTCCAAATTTTGGATATCTCTCTTGACCAAAGTATGACGACCCCATTTCCCAGATTGTGGCTACTTCTGCATGTTGGTGGTCAGAAATCTGAATCCATCTAAAAAAAAATTATATGTTTATTCAGAGAAAGTACACTTTTGTGTCAGATTCGTGATATCGTCTGCACTAAATAATTAGCATATTTGAGATCATCTTTAGAAAACATTACGATTGACACTTAATCCATGAAAATCCGCATTTGCGTTACATTTAGAGGAAAACCTCCCACAGTTAGTCGGAAGACAAGGGGGCTCTAACCCATGATCCGTCTACCACTGGAGATATTTTACGTCAGCACTGTGGTGGGTGCAAGCCGGATGCTGAATATGGATCGACCAGCCATCGCTGAAATTCGAACCCTATTCACCCCATTGGAAGGCGGACGTTCTATCTCATGAGCCATCTTGGCTCAACTTTCAACTCATTAACTTTCGTAGATAGGTATATTGAACTCAAAAATGCATCATTTTCAATTATTTAAATTATTATTATTGTTAGAAGAGCTTCCACCCCCTCTTCGCTTCGCTCATGAACCCCCTAATGTTCAATTCCGTAGGCTTGTCATTTCGAACCCAATCCAGAAGACAAGGAAACTCCTGGCTCAGGTATTGGGAGAGATTTGCCTTGGTGGGGGACTTTTTGATGTAACGACCCGGCATGTGCGTTACATGATGGGGACAACCACGAAAACCATTCACGGTCAGCCTGACAGAAAGAGAACTCTAACTCTCAATCACTGGGGTTATTTTACGGTCAGCACTGTGGTCGGTGCTAGCCGGGTATTCGGAATTCGCATCAACCCGCCATCGCTGGGATTCGAACCCGGTTCGCCTCATTGGAAGGCGAACGTTCTATCCCCTGAGCCATCATGACTCAACTGCGATCATTAAAACAATGTGTGAAAAGACGCTTTTTCAAAGGATGTACAACTTTAACATACTGAATAACGTACTAAAACATACAAAAAACATACATGCTTTTGAAAAAACATACTTAAAAAAATGCCCGGGTTTCTCAGATTTCAACGGCGAAATATTTCTTACTTCATGTTTTATGATGAGATCATAGGATTAAGGGAGCTGTTCAAATAAGGCCTCCCTATTTGAGAGCAAATATTACCCTCGATACATTCCGAGACAAATTAGTAGTTATAAATTTCTTCTTCCCTCTTCAAGTCCCCTGATGACAGGCCTCATACTGCAGGTTGAAATGGTTTATTCTATTTTTTTTCCTGCTTTATCGAAGTCTTCCCTAAAAACATAATCTCACTCTAAACTTCATTTTTCGCTGCAAAATCCTAAACACTCCCACTCACTTACACTTTATAGATCAAGAAAAACAAGAGTGCGCAAAATAAACAAGTAATATAAATTTTTCTTTTAAAGACAATGCCTACCTAGGTCAACAAAGAGAGTTTTTTATTTAAGTCACTTTTTATTAAATAGTTACAATTTTATAGTCCATGTAAAATAAAATAACCCTCACAAAGTGAATCATATTCGAAAAATCAACTTCATCTGAACTCAGGGCTGATCTGAACTAGTGTTGAAAAGTAGAAATCGCTGACAACTACTGTCTGTTCGACTGCACATCAATAAGCAATGAAACATGACTTGTAAAGCTTTAGTTGCCTTAACATTCTAATTTCATGTAAAATTAAAAGTTTTTCACCTTCCACGGGAGTCGGAAACTTGGAGGGGAGGGGGGGAAGGAGAAGCAAATATTCTTTCGAGGGAGGGGGGTGACGATCTGATGACCTGAAAAAGAACGAGGCCAAAAACTGTGCAAACGGCCTAACGGCATTCGTTTTTCATTCACCTCGTATTTAAGATTAGTACTACTAACATACAATTTTAATTCTAACTCAAGACTTCTCAAGAGCAAGGTCATTTCTTCTGCTCGGTGGTTATACAGGTACACTTTCACAACCATTTTCACTTCGAATTTCTTTTTTTTAAAAATTAATAAATTTAAAAAAAATAGATTTTTTTTAAATAATTTATTTTGTTCCTTAATTGCATTTTTAATCTTATTTTAAATATATATTTCCACTTGATTAGTTTTACGGAATAACATTGGACAAGTCTCTTCTCAGTTTATAAGTTCTTTCTTGTGTTTGATTTTTATATTTTGTACTGTTTTTACTTGTTTAAACTACATTAACGAATTAGTTTCATTTTTTGGTGTTTTTCACACTGTTCTATTGATATATTTTGCTACGGCTACATTAATGTCAGAAAGCACTCATTTTTATGGATATGAGCAGAAAACGATATGTCTTCTAGAATTTTTAACTAAATATATTTTTATATATATTTTATATAATTTTTAACTATATATATATANGATATTTTTTATCATGTATATATATATATATATATATATATATCTTAAAATGTATTGTGTATCTAATTTTGTATATTTATAGTATTTATGATGTTTGATATTCATGATAGTTTAAAACGAAATTTTGAAATGGTGATGATATGATCTGTTACTTTTTTCCCTTCAAAAATTACCTCATTGAAATTTTAATGTAGATTTCGTCAGACTTAAATACATCATATTTTATTGTTATTTTACATTTATCACTGATTGCTATAATAGGATTTACCTTTATTATTGACTTTATCTGAATGTGTAGACTAAAATTTGTTATGCTGTAAAAAAAAAAAGTTCTAAAAGATCAACAGCAAAAATAAAACTTTAGGCATCCTTGGCATCGAAATATTTCGTAGATTTTATAATAATATAAAAAAATTGAAAATAAATAAAAAATTGGTAAATATTTGATCACAGAAACAACTTTTTAGTGACTAGAAATTTTAAATTTCTCAAATTTTTTTCTCAAAGTACGTTAAATTTTTATAAGTATAACTTTTTTCAAGATTATGGTTTATTCTATTGAAAAGAATTATGAAGTTCCTTACTAAACGAAAATATTAAAAAATTAATAATTCAATTTCGTTCAGTATTATCATAACAAACAAGTAGTTTTGGTTTAATTAATTGGGTCTCTCATATATTTACATCAAAGTATGAAAACACATTTCAAAGAATTTTCGTGCGAAAAATGTATTTGTTTAAAAGTAAAGAAAGTATCCCCCCCCCCCAAATCTATCATTAAATGTTTAACCCTTTAGCGTAGATGAGACACCGTCTAGTCATATTTTGATCTTAATTTCGCTAAAACACGGTTTTTTTAAACCAATATACAAATAAATAAATTTTCTAAATGCGAAAAGTAAGAAAAAAAAATTCATTTTCCTAATATATCTACGACTATAATTCTATCACACATTTTCTTTTCTATTGCAGTACTTTATATACTTTTACCTGACTGTAACTGTGCACGAATTATTGTCACTTTTCGAACGAAAAAAAGTGAATAACTTCAAAATTTTTAATCTGCTGCAAAATAATTAATTCTCGATAGAAAATTGTGAATGTAATTGAAGAACCTTATATGGATATTGTTATATTGCGAAAGAATTTGGGTTCTTATTTACGCTGACTGGTTCTGGGTACTATATTTACGCTAACTGTCCAAAAATGATCAAATGTTATTGTTGTGGTTATCGTATACCATTAAAGCAATTGGTGCGATTGTTTTAAGTCTATAGCAAAGAATTTGATTTTTGCCACACCTATACGTCACACCCGTTTACAAGGTGGACACATTCGCATGTCTATTCATTCATCCACAGATCGTCATTTTGTATTGAACCAGAGAACAATCCATCTCCAATTTAGTAACCCTAGAAGTATTGATTTCTTATAGGAACAAGGAGGACTTTGCGACCCTTCAGGTTTAGCGTGCACCAGTCACTATTTACTACGAGGGGAGTCTTCTAAAATGATAAAATATTTTACTTTTATTCAGCACCCCTGTTGAGACAACTTAAATGTGTTGAAAAATCGGTTATTAATCTTTTGTTAACTTTGAATCATTTGGAGATTTTGTCCCTAAAATGTTGATATTCAACATAGAGAGAAGCATAAAAATGTCTAAAAGTTAATTAGCTCTTACAGCATCCCATTTGGTAAGAAAAAAAATATTTTAGAGTAATAGTGATAAAATATTTGTGCGTGAATTGCGATAATGGTTTTCGAAAACCTAGTGTTAGCAGAGCATGCTCAGTAGTTAGTGATTGTGTTAACTCACATGAAGAAATTTGTAGATTTTAAATATTTCTCTAATAAACAGTACCCATATCGATACAGCAAACAACTGAAAATAATTACTTCGGATACAGCTTTACGAAACATGGCACATCATCGCCTGGCACAACAACATAATGAAGTGACATCTGATTGGACATCTACAGATTCTGTAATGATAAGCATGAACGACGTTCCTTACGTTAACTGAAAAAAATACACTGTAATACTACTGTATTCTATCTTGGCTCCATGTCTCCCCTTAGTATTGACTCATAATATTTAAACTGAGCCACGTATTACAATACAGGGTTCTAGTGTATCCTACCAGAGGAAACCCTACCTAAAATGATAGGGGGCCCTATAGGTTGCTATGTATGTGCATGTATATAATAGTGTGTTGAATAGCGTTAAAATAAGGAATTTCGAGCTATGAGGGTCTGTTGCTAACACACGAACAAAACTTAATTCTGCTAATTTAATGTGTTCAGTGGAGTAACAACTTTAGAAAACTGTGCTTTTAGGCTTCTAGCCTTCCTAGAGAAAGTTTGGTGAGCTGTGCTCAAAGATGCGTTAATTAGTTGGAGAGATACGCTAAGTGGAGGAGATACGTTAATTAATATTCCCAAGATTTGGTGAAATTAGGCAATTTTCAATTATAGCATTTTTCATTTTTATTTATTTTTTTACATCTCTAATTTTATAATAAAAACTATATTCAAACTATAAAAAAAATATTTTTAAGGTGACAAATGGCTTTTGTATTTGAATTTGTAAGACGAAGTGCCTTACATAACACTTAAATACAATATTACCAAATGAGCCGTGATGGTCATGGGGATAGAGCGTTTGCCCTGCCAATGAGGGGAAACGGGTTCGAATCCCAGCGATGGCTGTTCGATACGAATTCCGCACCGACCACAGTGCTCCCGTAAAGCATCCTTAGAGGTAGACAGATCATGGGTAAAAGTCTCCTTGCCATCAGGCTATCCGTGGAATCTCCATGTAATTCAAATGCGGGTTAGTTCCATCATAAAGTCCTCCCCGAAGGCAAATTTCTCCCGATACTTGTTCCCGGAGTTTCCTTGTCTTCTGGATTAAATTTAAAATGACAAGGTTACGCAGTTGAACATGAGTGGTCGTAAAACCCATATATTTGGGTCGGCTGTTCAACGACGGTTATAGAATAAAATAAAATCTCTTTCTTTAAAAGTAACTGTTGATTCACCCATTGACAAATGTTTTACAAAACATTTTTATAATTCATACTCCCTTGCCGTCTTTTTTTTCACTAAGAGAATGAATCATGGTAATAAATTTTTTTTTTACACTTTACCGAAATCATTGCTTAGAATTCATGAACGTAATCCTCACGTATCAATAGCTTAATTGACATCTAGCTTTGTTTTTATTATTTTCAAATTGAACTCAAATGTAGTTTTTGTAAAAGCTAAACGCCCAAGTTTTTTAATGAACTACTTTACTTGACTTCCATAAGCATTTTAATATAAGCAAATATAAGACTACCTTTCAACAACTTTGCTGCTTTAGTCCTTAAATCGGACACGAGAATGCTCATACCACAAAGAATATTATCAATATTCGTTTTCTATTGAGATTTCAGACGATTATCAGGTGACCCATTCTCTAAATAAGTATAAGAATTTAGTACTATTACATATCTGAAGACTGACATTGTATATATATATNTTTCTTTGTCAAGCAATCATAAATAATACAAAGGAATAATGATCTACGATTAAAAGTATTTAGAAGTAATTTGAAGAAGAAGAAATTTTTTTTTTGCCCCATCCACTTTCTGAAAGTTTTGTTGAGAGTGGATGATATCTCGAAAGACTAGTTTAAAAGAGAACAAAATATTCTTCTTATGCAAAAGAAGAAGGAGGAGGATTAAATGATGTAAAGAGAACGCGACATCTTTTTCTTTTCCAGGCGGCTAATGAACTCTCCGTTACCTTCCTTTCGAACTCATTTATTCTCCTCTCTTTCAATTCTAACAGCCCTACAAAGTTTGACATTTCTCTGGAAGATACTCTTTCGAATGGTAATTCTTATAATTCAATTCGAAAGAATGAGAAACTTCATCATTTCGTCATAATTTTTGCTTCGCGTTTTTTTCGAACTTCGCTGTTTAAAATACTTTAAATTTTATCCTATCTTTGTTGTAAAGAAGAATGTGAACAAATTTCGAAGGAAAAAAAAACAGAGCCTTAAATGGAAACTAAAGAATGACTAACTATCAAAAGTTTTATTTAAAAAAAAAGTAAAATAGGAACAAAGTAATATCCAACCTTTAATATGTTAATTTGAAGAAAAAACGCTCGAAATGAGGGCATTTAAGAGTCAAAACTGCTGCCAAAAATTTAAAATTAACAATTTAAAATAGATTTAATAAATGAATGTGACCCAAAAAAAAAGCTATTTAAATAGATTTTATCAATGAATATTTTCTGAAATTATCAACAAATTAAGAAAATTTAAAAATGTATTATTTAAGTAGATATAAAAATGAATGGGCCTTGAAATAATAGGCAATTAAGGAAAATTTAAAATTAATTAAATTGATACAATAATCTAATATGTCTTCAAACTATCGACACATAAAAATTTTTTTTAAGTGAATTAGTTAGATAGATATAATAAATGAATCATTATGATATTTCATGAGGCGACTGAGTGATTTTCGCTACACGAAGTTTAAAAAAATGGACTTGCTTAAAGAAAGTTTTAAT